TTATATGTTGTGGACCACTCTGCCTGGATTCAGGCATTGTAACTCAGACACCTCCCCCCGCCCTGTGGCTTAGGATAAGCAAGTGACCTCCGGAATGCCAGCCACAGGAGACAAGGTTTGTCTCTGGTAGCAAACGCTGCCTCAATTTCCTCTCCCTGCCCCAAAAACATGGTCAATGTTGTTGACATGTAAGTCTCCTCACAGTAGGGAGCAACCTAAACCAGACATGATCATTTGGCAGGCCATCATGGAAGGACTCAGGGTTCTGCAACAAAGAGCCAGCAATAGACCCATGCCCCCCAGCTATGTGACATAGACCGGGTCCCCATGTCCTCTGGGAGAAGCACTTCTAGGCTCTAATCCTCTTAAGCCTGAATCCCCAATGGGAGGGGTACAGCTCCTTGCTTGGCCAGACCAGATCCCCGAGGGGGGTTGGGGGGAGGGGAGGATCTGGTATCACAAAAAATTCCTGAAAAGCTTGTGAAACCTGCTCTACTAAAGAGTGTTTTCATTCATATGATAAGGGTCCAAGCAGGAAACCCTAAAGTTTTTGCAAACTCCCTTCCTGACAGACTGACTCAGTTTAAGCCCTCAGATTTCTTTGAAATGTTATCTACTGTTTGATCCTTGCCACCCTGTATTCCTGTGTATTACAACCCAGTAAAAGCCTTTGGAGGAAGGGGCTCGAGGCCTTTTTTTCCTGAGAAACTGGCCACCTCTCCTCCCCAAGCAGATCTTGTCTTGGTAGTGTTTACTTTCACCCGTGGCAGACGGGGGACTTCCAGGAAAAGTCGCCCCCACAGTCATAAATTTCTTGCAACAAATTTTAAGAGCCTACATTGTGCCTGGTACTTTTTTTGTTGTTAAGATAAAGTCCCATCATTTATAGAACTTAGATTCAGGCAGCATTCAAACAGTGTTTGTTATTGATTTGAAGAATGCCTAAATAAAATGGAATTAGAATGCCAAAGGTAGGCAAAAACCTGCCTCAGTTACTGATTATGCAAAAATGTAGTGACAAAACTTTGCAAATTCCAATCTAATAGGGAAAACTCTGATTCATATTGATAAATGGTGCTCAGAGGACTAAGCCAAAAGTTTTACATGTTCTTGGTCTGGCCATCAGCTTTTGCTGAAGAGTTGCATTGTTCAAACCTCACTTCCAGACTAGGTCTGTCTCTTACTTTTTTCATTTTCATATAATGGCCTCAACCTGTAGCCCTTTCTGTGTTCATTTAGTGCATAAAGGCAGCTGTATTTACTTGACTTTCTGAGAGGTCTATCTTACCCAAAGGAAAGTCTGATTCATTTATCCTTCCCTAGTTAGTATTGTTACAGGAAGAACTCAGGCCGAACACTGGAGAAAGCAAAGTGGATCCTTTATGCATGTGGACCCAGAGAAGGCAGTCTACAAATTCTGGACACCGAGCTGTGGGGAGCAGTTGCTTTTATAGAGTAAGGAGTGGAGCGTTATTTCTGGCATAAAAGCCACAAACAGCTTCAGAAGCAGGAAGCAAAGGAGCATAGTGTTATCTGTGGCACACAGGCAACAAGCAGTTTACAGGAGCAAGAAGCAAAAAGCCAAGTCATTCTCTGGGTGCTCTGCTATTTTTTAAAATGACTGCCAGTTTCCTCTAATAGTCTTCCATTTTGATGCTATAGGCGTCATTGGCTACCTTTAGCTGGCTGTTATCTTGGCTTCTGGATCTCTGTAGGTTTTGGTGCCTATATTGGTATTATTGGAGGGTGAGGACTTTTGCTGTGGCTCATCTAGTCACTGCGGCCTCTAGAGTTTGGTCTATGGTCTGCAATATGCAGGTCCCAAAGCATATTCCCAGGAAGATAATAATTAGGGGTCCTAGAAAGGGAAGCAGCCACTGGAGCCAGGCTTGAGGATTTATTTTCTAATTTCCCCAATTTTAACTTTCTATTAGGGCCAGGGCTAGGGTTAGGGTTTATGTTTTATTTGATTTCTTTAATTTTCTTTGTTATAATCTCTGATTTATAAAGTAGCAATATTCTCTTAGGAACATACAGGCCCCCCCCCCCTTTTATGGCGGTGAGGAGGTCTAGGGTCCGCTGGTTCTGGAGGGTGACTTCTGCTAGGGAGTTAATCTGCTGTTGGATTGTAGTCCCAAGCAGACCTGTCTACCCGGGGGTCCATGAGGCTGACACTTCTTGCTCTGATACCCTATACTTCTGACCATAATGCCTGTGTGGTGTAGCCTTCTTCCCCAGGTGCAAGTACCCCCTGTACCTACATAGTCTGCGAGTATAGAGGTGCTTGACGTGAAATCTCTTGGAGCAAAATACCAGCTTACTACGCCACCTCCTATGCTTATTCTTTCTCATAGTGTGCTTCATTTGCATACTGGTGCTATGACGGGTTGAGCAAGCTAAGCAAAATTTATTAAGTATGCAAAAGTACAGACAATACAGAGGTAAGCCTCCCCAAGAGTGGCCCACTCTCCAGAACTCCATCCCGGGGTGGGTTACAGTTACTAGTCCAATTCCTAGGATTGCTGTGAAGATGCCAATGAGGGTCAGGAATTACCAGGAACAATGGTCCATCAACCAGAGTACCCATGGGTGGCTGGTTTTCTTCTCAACCTCAGGGTGGGCAGCTTTGGCAACGGTAGTTCTGGATCTTTGTCAGCCCTCTGGTCCTTGGGGTCTGCTGCTGCCTTGGCTCGGTTGTAGTGGATTCAAGGTGTGATCTCTGTAACTTTAAGGGAAGTTGGGGTAGTTAATATGGCTAAATGAGGACCTGTCCATGTGGGTTAGAGGAACTCCTTTTTCTAATCTTTTATCTATACATAGTTCCAAGGCTTATGTGAGTGGGTTGGCCCCCCTCATAAACAGGGTTCTTGGCCTAATCCAGCCTGGTGTATCTGGCTAAGTGTTTCCCCTAGCTTCTGGAGATACTTAGTCTTCTGCTTCTTCAAGAATATTAAGCTCTCCTCTGGGCAGGGCTAAGATAGCTGGTGGCCTGCTGTAAACTAGTTTGAATGGCGTGTACCCAGTGGGGTTTGGGGCATTCCGAACTCTGAATAGCACTAAGGGCAACAGGTCAGGCCAGGGTAGGTTGGTCTGGTAAAATTTGGCCAGTGTCTCCGTTCAGAGTCCGATTCATGTGTTCTACTTTTCTTGAACTCTGGGGATGGTAGGCAGTGTGCAATTTCCAATTAATCTTTAGCTGAGTTGCAAGATCTTGGATCACCTTGGCTATAAAGGTGGGTCTATTGTCACTCCTTATGGTGGTGGGCAGTCCAAACCTTGGAATTATCTGGATTTTCCAGGGGCTGTTCTTGCAAGTCAGGCCAGCTGGCATGGGTTAAGTATGCTGTCTTGTAGGTATTTGCAGATGACCTCTGCAATGCCTCTCCTGGCTCTCTGGAAATGGAGTATTGGCAGACCTATTTTGGGCAGGTTCCTGGTTTTGTAAGTCCCGCCCTAGGCGCAGTACAGGGCATTCCGGCAGGTATAGGAACTCATGTTCTATTTGATGGCCTCAAGTTTGACAGTTTGGGCCTGGCGGAATTGTTTGGGGCTACTAGGCCATCTCATGGCTCTGACTATGGAGATTTCATGGCCCGACAATGGTGCAGTGGGTGTAATCATCACCGAGTGTTCTGTGCCAGTGTCTATCATAAATGGGAGTGTTTGTCCCTCTGCTGTCACTTTGACCATGGGCTCAGGGGGCCTGAGATTCAGTGAGCCCAGTCCCCTCTAGTCTGAGTCTAAGCCAGCCAGCCTAAGGACTGTAGGCACCTGTGACCCTGGTCCCTGTCACCTGCTGGTTGGCCTTTTATTATTATTGGGCACTCTCTTTTCTAGTGCCCTCTCTCTTTGCCATAGGTGCACTGGTCTGGGTCTACACTCTGGTGTGCTGGTTTTCCCCTTCCTTTGGTCCCTCTCTTCTGGCTCAGTAGGAAGTTACCAAGAGCAGCTACCAGGGGGGCTGCTTTCTGTTTTATCCCCTTCTGGGCCTCTTGTTCTGTTGCTTCTTCCCTGTTGTTGTAGACCTTATTAGCGACCTCTATTAGTTGGTGATGGGTTTGCATGATGGATTTCATGAGGTCAGGCGGCCTGTGGGAGAGTCTCCAGAGCATATGGAAGAGGTAGACTGATAGGCAGCTCTTCCTCCGGCTCTCATTTGAAAATGGGGGGGGGGGGGTGTTTCTTGACTAGGCGACTAAAACACTGGATTGCACCACTTTTCGCCTACCGCTTGCCTTTCTTACCATCTTAGTCTTCTGACCTGCACGCTGCTGGAGCCATGACAGTACATCTTGTGCTGATTCCTTCCATCTGTCTATGTAAATGGACTGATCTGGGTGTCCTGGCTTGCCTGTGACTTTTAGGTATTCCTAAGTTGAGGGTTCCCTTAAGAGGCCAGCCTACCCCAAATGTTGGCCATTCTGATGTACAGAAACTTTCTAATTAGTCTCAAGTCATGCTTGGGTCCTGGCCTGGAAACTGATCAAAGTTTTGCAACATGCAGTCAAGTACTGTTGAGGGGCCTGCTCCCATGATGTTCTTCCCACAACGGCGCAGACAAAGGGATGGGATTGTCAGTTTCGCCAGCCTGGCCTCTCCTGTCCCCAGCGACTTGGGTCTGTCTTAGCTAAGGCTGCCCGAGTAAATTCTGGGTTACTTCCAGCCATTATGCTGTATTGCAGACCGAGGAACTGCAGGTTGGGGCCCACTCAGACTCTAGGTTTTCATGAGTGGAGTCACAACTCAGTCATTCATACAAAAATTCCCGAGTTTAATACAGTCCCGCCAGAGTAGGACTGCCGTCCTCTTAGGGTTTCCCCTACCTCGTGGCCAGTTGGCCGGTTTGAGAGGTGATCAGGCTCTCATTCCACCACAAGGGGTGGGTCTCGTCTTGGGCTCTGGTCCCTGGGGCATTAACCACTCCTCAGGCTGCATAGCTTCCCACTTTGGACCGGTTCACTCCCTCTCCAGCCCAAGTAGAGAGTGGGCCTCTCCGGAAGCTAGCCATGGAGTCTGGGGCTGGTGAGGACCCGAAACAGCTGGGGTGCACACTTCCCCGCCATCACAGGGCTCCATGGAGTACCTGCAGCCACCTCGCCAGAGGCAGTCACCTGCTCGCATGAGTCGTTTCCTGGTCAGGGAACCAAAATGCTACGGAAAGAACTCAGGCTGAGTTCTGGAGGAACTGGAGGAAGCAAAGTGGATCCTTTATTTACGCATGCAGGCACAGAGGAGGCAGTCTCCAAATTCTGGGCGCTGAGCTATGGGGAGCAGTTGCTTTTATAGGGTAAGGAGCAGAGTGTTATTTCTGGCCCAAAAGCCACAAGCAGCTTACAGAAACAGGAAGCAGAGGGTAGTGTTATTTCTGGTGCACAGGTGACAAGCAGTTTACAGGAGTAAAAAGCAAAAACCCAAGTCATTCTCTGGGTGCTGTGCTATGTTTTAAAATAACTGCTAATAACTGCCAATTTCTGCTAATAGTATGAAATCTTTAGTCCCTTTGGAACATTTTTGCCCTCATTGGATTGATGTTTTTCTGTTGACAGCTAGGGGTTGAGTATTTTTCTCTCCCAGTTGGCTTCTTTTCCACTCTTCTGGAGAGTAACCTAGACGACATTGCTTGGTGTGTTTAAGGTTTTACCTGCACATACCTTGAAGGGCCACCAGACTAGTGTGACCAGCATCACCCAGCCTCTTGCAGGAAGCTTGAACTGAGAGCACCTTTACTGTGGCTGAACTCATGGTGTCCTGTTTGTTTCGGTCCCATCACTGTGTAGTTAGTTCCCTGTTTCTGGTTCAAAAGAGAATCGGTATTAGGGAATGATGTCAGAAATTATCAGCGCTTCCTTTTGCATCACCTTAGAACATCTTTCAGTCTCTGAGTATCTCTCTCAGTATAATTTGTTGCCCAAGTATTTTTTTTAATGTTGTGGATGATAATGATTTGCTTTAGCAGTAATAAATGAGTATGGAATTCATTGTTTATCACACCGGAGATGCAAGTAGGCCTACCTTGAAGGAACTGTAAAGTCATGCCAGAGAGACAGCTAAAATAGCTTAGTCACTTTGGACTTGGGTGTTACCAGGTCTCATTTAAAAACCATCTGTTAGAGTGGATCAAACAGTTTACTCTAAGTTAAAATCTGAGTTTTGGGAATAGATCTGGATTTTTATCTCCCACATACTACTAGCTGAGTAAATTTACACAAATTCCCTTTTTGAAAAGACCATGAAGATTACATGAAATATGACTTAGCACCATGCTTAACACAGTAAGCACTCTGTAAATGATAGATGTTTGTTAATACTGTTACCTGTTTGGCTTCATTTCATCTTCCAAAAGGAACTTTATTTTTACACTTGGTAAGCATCCATATATGCTAACTCCAATACTTAAATATGCTGAGAGGATGACAAGCCATTTTATCTTAACAGAGAACCATCACAAATAGAAATACCAGAACATGAATAGTAGATTACAAGGAAGAGGGGCTTTGTTGTACCCCCATTCTGTTCTCTAAGGCTTAGTGCTATGCCTGGGGTGTACAATACTTTTTGTTAGGTGAATGAAAGAACAGTTTTCACTAGTGAGTGAAGTTAACTGGAACAGTACTAAACAATAGTGCCAGGCTAGCTATAGTAATTTAGATTTTGTCCCATAGACAGTGAAAAGCCATTAAAACTGAATGGTGGTGCATCATGTACAAATTAACATTTTAATTTCTCTTGACTATATGGATCAGAGACAGAGACAGTAAGAGTCAGTGGACAGTAAGAGTCAGTGGACTCAGAGCCAGGCCCTGAGGTTGATGTGAGAGATAAAGATGAGTAAGACAGCAGGAGCTCAAGGGATTTAACGGTTAGGAGACTATTGGAATGTGGTTAAGTGTGAGATGATGACCTGGAGAACACTTGGAGAGAAAGGAACAAATGTGGGAAAGGACTAGTAGTACTTACTAACTGTATAGGGGAAGAGATAAAAGGAGGAACCAAGGTTTTGACTAAATTATGGACAGAAATACCATCTCTTGAGGATAGGTTTGAGTTTGAGGAAATGGTAAGGCATTCAGGAGCTTGGAGTCTGGTTGTCAGTGGAAATGTTTAACTGAAACTTAGGGAAGTATTTAGAAATGAAGAAGTTGATTTGTGGGTCAGCTGCAAGGAAGTGCAGGTTTAAATTATGAGGGTGGATGAGAATTTGTGAGAGAGAAAGTGAAATATGGAAGGTGGGGATGAGTCTTGGGGAATGCCCATGTGTGTGAGATGGAATGTGGAAATAAGAGGCATAGAAGGAGAGAAAAGAATGCCCAGAAAGGTAGAAAAAAAAAGATGGGAACACAGTCACAAAAGTCAGTGAACATGGGAGTTGATAGAGGGAGAATGCAAGTGCTGAATGCTGTAGCTCAGCCAGAGAAGACACAACAGGAAGCTAAAAAGGAAAATACAACCTGGACTGAAGTAGGAAATTTGGGTGAACTGTTAACCACCAGAAGGGATGAAAACATTTATTAAAAGGCTCAGCCAGGTTTCTATTTCAGGTGTGATTTATACCTAATTTTCTTAAAAAGTAACATACTACTTGGAAGTTCATAAAGAATAATAGCAGTCTGCTATTACCCTTCTAGGCTTATTCCTTGGGGTCAGTCACTGTCAATTCTTTGAGATGTTTCACCATATTTCTAAATACTATGCTCAATTACCACTTCTTGATAATAATGTTCAGATATTATCTATTGATTTGGAAAGAAGATAAGGATGTTTCCCTTAAACCTCTAGCATTCTATGCATCTTTCAGAAATCATGTGTACATAACATATTATGTAAATGTTACTTAATACAGAGTCATGTTGTATTCCCTGTGATTATTTCCTTTGGTAAAATTTAGTGTTTTCTCTGGAGATAATGATTGCCTGTTATTTTTTTAACGCAGTTTTCCATAATCTTTTTTCTTTTAAGATTTTTAATTTATTTTATATAGACAGAGGGGAAGGGAGGGAGAAAGATGGAGAAAAACATCAATGTGTGGTTACGTCTTGCACACCCCCACTGGGGACTTGGCCCACAACCCAGGCATGTGCCTTGACTTGGAATCGAACCAGCAACTCTTTCATTTGCAGGCCTGTGCTCAATCCACTGAGCTACACAAGTAGGGCCCATATTCTTCACTAGATCTGTCATAGGTCTTTGGAGTGATAGTCAATTCATTTTTACCCCCTAGAGAGTCTCCTTTGTAGCCCTCTTTCCTTTGTTCTCTTCTGGACTGTGCTCTTTTTGGCACTTTCCATTCTAGAATTACCTTATTCCCTTCCCTCTATTAAATTATTTGTTTCCAGGATCCCATTTTATCCTCTCTACTGATTCACTTTCTAGTTTTGCTAAATGCGCATTTTCTGGTAGCTTCAAGATCAAATAGAAGACAAATTATTTTGAGTAATTGCATGTCTGACAGTGTCTTTATTCCTTCCTCACACTTAATTGGTAGTTTAGTTGGGTATAGAATTCTAGGTAGAATATAATTTTTAGTTTTGAAGGCCTGCTTCATTGTCTGGGCATGTAGAAACAGAATCACTCTCTAATGGGCAACTGAGGCTGAAGTTCGCATATTTAGGCTGAGCCAAAGTAATAACAGGAAGAGAGCAAAAAATGAAGGAAATATGCAGGGATGAGAGGCTTTGCTACCCCAAAGGGATTGAGACAGTAACTGGGTTTCTGTTAGTTTCTGGTTTTGGTTTCTGGAAATGACCTCATAAAGACCAACTATACTTCTTGCTTTATTTTTTTCCCCTTTAACCTATGGCGGCTTGAATGGGTTTCTGTTTCTTACAACTGAATGGTTGTTAAGACAAGCGTCCATTTTATTTCAGAGCTATCTCTCTGTCCCGTCCTGAAGGTTCAGTGCCTGTATTTAGAAATATAATCACATTTTTTAGATAGCTCTCAACTGGAAATGAAGAGGTCTAATTTATACTGGCCCTTGGCCAGTTAGTGGCATTGGATAAGTTATTTTTCTTCCTTGTGACCCAGGCTCAGTGCCAGTAACAGTGAGATGACTATGTCCATAAGATTTTTTTTAGTTGAAGACAGAATGAGATTATCTTGTTAGGAAAGCAGCATTTGCCAGTAGGAGTGATGGGAAAGGATTGAGTAATAATTCAAAGGACTTTTTCTTAAGGAGACTACCTATTCAGAACCTAAAATAACTAATTCTGTCTTGTAGCTACTGACCCTGCTTATGTCCCACCTCGTGGTATTAGGAATACCTAATATTCCTAATGTTAGGAATATTAGGATCTCACCTGTGACTAAAATGGAGAAAAAAATGGCCCTGAAGGTGGATTTCTGGCTTCTAGCACAACACTGATAGGTCCCACTGGCTAATGGTATGGCTTGGTTTATGGTGAACACCAATTGAGATGAACTTTTCACAGACACCATCTGTCTCAAGATAGTGTTTCACTCTCAGTTGCTCCAGGCTGGTCTCGGGAACAGTACCAGGACCTGTCCTTAAACAAAAACACTACAATCTCCTCAGCCTCTTCTTATGCTGCACAGTACAGATTAAGCTTAATCACTTTCCTTCCTGGGAAAGTGAGCTGAGGATGTTCATGCATCCTGAGATGGGAAGGGAAGAATTACCCATGGGAGCCAGGGTATATATATGTGGTAAATGAAATTCACTTGTGGATAGATGTTGAAATTCACTTGCAGAGATGGGGGCTGCCCGTTGGATATAAAGTACAGTCCTCTTAGAAGAGTTGTCTATAAGTTATATCTAAGGGAGACCTGAGATTCAGGAATGGTTTGTATTTTACTGTCCTTCTGGAAACCTATAGAGCCTTTAACTTAAGATGCTCTTTTGTATTTTCAGTCCTCAGTATAGTTCTAGAGACAAGTGTTATTGTTCCCACTTTATAAATTAACAAATATGAGGCACAGAGTGGCTAAATGGGTTACCAGAGTTAGCAAAACTGGATTTCCTAAATTTACAGTGTGTGAGCTTATAGGGACCTTACTTAGATTGAGGGCCAGATTACCAGGCTGTTTGCAATGCATAATATAAGCAGAATGTCTGATGGAGTGGGCAATTGCATTCTAACAAAAAAGAATGAACTATTTTTCACCCTTTCATTAAGGTCAAGAAAAGTGGATCCTTCCTAACTACAAAAAAAAAAAAAAAATCATGGGATTTATCCCTCATGAGTCTTAAGACTCTCCTGGTGGCTTTCTGCTCTAGGGGTTGGGGATGGGCTATGTTCATCACTAAGTTGGATGTCCACAGTTGCCAGCGTAATGGCCAGGGCAAAGCAGCCTTTGTCAGGTGCCATCAGCACCTTACACATTGTTGGCAGCTCCAGGAACTTGAAGCAGATGGTTCGGCTGGTGTCCTCGGCCTCACTTTTCTGTCTGAAAGGACAGGGAGAGTCCCAGACAAGGCATTCCAGGGCTCTAAGAGCATATCCCTGTTCAAGGCAGTAACTTCTGTTGACCAGAGTATGATGGAGGTGGTGGAGGAGGGCTTAGGCATGAGGGAAGTGAGATAGTAAGCCACAGATACATCTGGTAACAGGTTACTATCCAAAATTTATAAAGAATTTGTAAGACACAAAAAAAATCCCCATTAGAAAGTGGGCAGAGGACCTAAATAGACATTTTTCCAAAAAGGATGTACACATGGCCAAAAGACATAAAAAGATGCTCAATGTTGCTAATCAGAAATGCAAATTAAAACCACAGTGAAATACCACCTCACACTGTGCAGGATGACTATCATCAATAAATCAACAAAATGCTGGCAAGGATGTGGAGAAAGGGGAACCCTTTGGCACTGTTGGGAATGCAGATTGGTACAGCCACTGTGGAAGGCAGTATGGCGATACCTCAAGAAATTAAAAATGGATCTGCCTTTTGACCCAGCAATTCAATTTCTGGGAGTATATTCAAAGAAACCCAAAACACTAATTTGAAAGAACACAAATACCCCTGTGTTCACTGTGGCATTACTTAAAATCTTGAAGACAAGGAAGCAGCCCAAGTGTCTCAGTAGATGAGTGGATAAAACAACTCTGGAATAGTTACATAATGGAATACTACTGGGCCATAAAAATTTTTACCCTTTGCAACAGTATGAATGAACCTAGAAAACATGGTAAGTGTAATAAGCCAGTCAGAGGAAGGTAAATACCATGCATTTTCACTGCTATGCAGAATCGAATGAACAAACTAAACTAATAAGGATAGTGGGGACAAACATGGATGGAGAACTGGATGATAGCTATGGGGGGAGGGTTGGTTAGGGAGTGGGGAGGAGTGAAGCAGAAAGGTAAAAGGTCTCATGGGCATGGACAACAGTGATTGTAGGGGAGAGGGCGATATAAAGGGCATGAATGGTGATGGAAAATGCAATAAAAACAATAGTAAATCAAGTGAGGTGTACTTTCTGTAGTTTTCTTAAGATTTTTAGACAGGAGGGAAGGGAGGGAGAAAGAAGAAGACAGCTATCGATGTGTGTATGAGAGAAACATCAATCAGTTGCCTCTCACCTCTCGTGTGTTACCTGAGTGGGTATTGAACCCACAACCCAGGAAGGTACCTTGACTGGGAATTGAACAGGTGACCTTTTGGTCTGCAGAACAATGACCAACCCAGCCACACCAGTGAATGCTCTCTGTAGATGTTTAAATATGTTCAATATGTAGATGTTTAAATATGTACACAGTTAAAAGTTTCCTTCCAACTTCCACCCTGCCAATGACCTAATACCTTTCCCCAGAGTCAACCAGTGTTGCCTGATTATTATGATCCTTGTAAAGATAATTGTGTGCATATATAAACAGTTCTGTAGTTTCCTTCAAAAGAAAAGTACATTTTGCTTTTTTTTACTTACCAATATGCCCTGGAGACCATTTCATATCACTGCATAAAAATTGACTCACAGTATTCATAATTAGGTTACATTATTGACAAGGATTTCTATTAGTGAACATTTCAATTATTTCCAATCTCTTCCAAACCCTGCTGCAATGAAGAACCATGTACATACATCTTTTGTTAATGATATATCTCTAGAAGTAGTATTGCTGGTCAAAGGGTGTGTGTATTTGTTATTTTGAGTAATATTGCCGTATTGTCCTTCACAGAGGTTGCATTAATGTACCTTTCCACCAGCAACATGAAAATGTTTCCTCATACCAGTGCCAGCAACATAATGAGAGATTAAGTATGGTCTCAGTGTAGACCTAATTTACAGTTCTTATCATGATGAAAGCTAAGCACATTAAAAAAAAAGATTTTATTTACTTATTTTAGGAGAAGGTTAAGTAGAAAGAGGGAGAGAAACATCAATGTGTGGTTGCCTCTCATGTGCCCCCAACTGGGAACCTGGACCATGCAACCCAGGCATGCGCCCTGCCTGGGAATCGAACCTGTGACCCTTCAGTTCACAGGCCAGTGCTCAATCCATTGAGCCACACCAGCCAGGGCACTAAGCACATTTTTACGTGTTCAAGAGGCATTTGTTTTTCCCTTTCTCCAAAACTGACCATTTTTCTATTGGGTGGTTTTTGGTGTTTTTAGGTAGATTTGTAGGAGCCTTTTTATATACCCCAAAATTAGTCCTTTGTGATAGGAGGTAGAAATACTTTTCTAGTTTGTCTTTTCTATGGTAGTTTTTGTTTTGCAGAAATTTTAAAAATCTAATTAAAATGGTCAATCTGTTTTTTTGTTATGATGGCTTTCAGGTTTCATAACATGCTGTACAAGCCTTCTCCACACCAAAACTGAAAAAATTCTCATTCCCCCCCCCCCCAGTACTTTCACATTTTCATTTTTTACATTAAAATTTGGGGTCTTAATGGAATTTATATTGGTGAAAAGTATGCGGTACAGACCAAACTTAATTTTTTTCAGGCTAATCACCAGTGATTCTAATACCCTTATTTGAGTAAAACTTATTTTCATCATTGACTTGAAATTGAAATGCTTTGTCATATACGTCTGAATATGCACGCCTGTTTCCTTACATTCATTGTTTGTATGTGTTTATGACAAATGTTTGTAGATTTGTATTTTAATTCTTAGCAGATGTCTAGATTTGTTAATATTTTATTTTAAAACGTTAAGTTTTTGTGGATTTAGAATGTTTGCCACCCCAAAATATGTCACTTTGGGATTGATTATTTTAGGTTAGCATTAAGTTTAAGAAAAGCAGACCTGGGAGGAGCTCTGAAAAGCAAGAAGTTTCCTTTTGTAAAAGGACATTTACTTTTGTAAGGGAAATCTCCATCTGCAAAGGTGTTTCTTTAACTGTACCTGGCCTGTTTTCGGTATCTGTGAAGAAGGCTTGGACTTAAATTTCCTAACAATCTAAACCTTGTTTGTTGTGCTTTTCCATAACTGACTCTCATAATGCCACCATCATCTTGTCTAAAGACAAGAAGGTGGTATTAAATATAATGGCTTCTACCATTGGGGGAGTTACTCAGTGCTCCTGGCTTTATTCTATATCTACAGGAGTTGGGCATATTATTAAACTTTTTTCTCCTGCTAATCTGTCTTGTGTTAATTTGATTGTTAGGCTACCAGCCAAAGAACTTTGAATGGTAAGGATGATTTTTCATCCCTGACAATTGTATACAGGGTAGGGCAGTAGTAGGTTTACAGTTGCTAGTATGTGAAACATTATTTATTATTGTATTATTTTATACGAACAACTGTAAACCTGCTTTTGCCCTACCCTATACATGTATAGATCACAGAGTATGGAGTACAAAAGTACATGGGAAATTGTTTATATGTTTTCCTCAGAGACGGGTTTTGTGAGGGAAGGGTGAGAGTCTATTTCTATACCATTTTAAGCTGTTTGACTTGCTAAGATCGAAACTGGAAAAGACACTGGTGTTTGGGCTGCCTGTCACTACCAAACCCAATAAACAATGACAGTGATGGACTATTTATGGGTGCTTTATTCAGATGGCTGGTGATATGAGAAGATGATGCTTTCATACCCTAACAGACTATCTTGTCTTCTTTCCAGGCCAACATTCTTATACCAGGGAATAAACAAGGTGTGGTGAGGGCTTTTGAGATTCAAGGAGGATTAGGTGAAAGAAAACTCAACATTCCTGTCCTGGACAATTAGCTGTTCCCAGGGGCAATTGGTTGGGTGGTCATCTGTCTCACCCTGGAATACAAAGGCTCAGATGTTCTCAGGTGGTAATCTTTAGCAGTGCCCCAGGAGGTCAGCTGTTTTCCTAGGAGCCAGGGTAGGCCTTATCAGTAGTTTCTGAAACAAAAGCTTTAACATACACATTACTTGCTAGGCTTATAACTTTTTACCTTAAAGTAAAATTTCCCAACTCTTGAGTTCCCTATCAAGATAAGCCTGTAATACTTGAGTAGAATATATGGGTGTATGTATATGTCTGTAACTACTCTTATTGTTTTGTCTGTACACACGCACACACACACACACACATTTGGAAATGTCAAAATGTAGGGTGTTCATGTCTAGAATTGTATGAGGAGTTGAGTGACCAAAGGGACTTTCATCATGTGTTTTATATACTATATATTTTTACAATGAAAAGTTTAAGAACAGACTAGTCAAACTAATCTGAGGTCAGAATTTTAAATGTGTCTATTTGTGAGATTAATAAAACAATAGAACTAAAATGCTACATGATATGTAAGAAGACCCAAGAAGTCAGTCAGGGAAGTGTTCTAAGGTAATTTCCTTAAAACTGAATTGCGCATAACTGTGGAGGTATTAAAGACTTTCAAAGAGGTGTGTGGGCACAATTAATTAATTGAGCTAATTTTCTCATTCTTAATTTACAGTTGTATTTCTTAAAATGGATTTGCATGAAAAGGCATTTAAATTTATATGAGAAGGCACCTGTGGTAGGGACCTCCTGTTGGTTCTCCTTTCCCACCAACTCTTTCCTAGTTGACCTTTCCCACCTTTTTAGAACAGAGGCAAACCTCACTCTTCCTGGCTCTTTGGAACATTGTCTTGGGGTATAAAAAACTTCAGGGAATCACAGGAATTGTTACCGAACAAGAGGTCCAAGGGAGGGGCAATACAATATTTGGCCCACCTAGGGATGCCCAAAACTGCTATACAACAGGGGCCCCTCCAAAAAACAAAATACTAATATCTACTGGGCTCTTCTGTCCGCCGCCAATTGGAAAGACATCTCTCAATGCCAGAGATTTGTGAAAAGGAAATAAAATGTTTATTTAATGCTATTCAGGCCTAATGCCTCTACTAAAATATCAAAGTCCTTTAGGTTGTACACTTACATCCACACAGCGCTCCCTTCTCCCA